CCCAAGTAGCCGTCACGTGTTTTGCGACTTTTGTGGTTTTTTTTTTTTTTTTTTTGCACTGGGCGTTTCTTCACAGAGAACTAATTGTTTGTCATTGGGTTAATCTTTTTTTTTTTTTGCCCAGAAACACCTAAAGCAGTTATCTTGGAGGACTTGTCGATTCGCCAACAACAGATCAGAGAATCAAAACGGTTCAAAAACAGAAGAAATGTGATGACCAGGAAAAAACATAGGAGCATTGGTCCATAAGGGGCAGCGACAATGTCCAGAAAATGTTTTTTTTTTTGTTCCTTTATTGTAACAACCATGTGACACAAATTTCAAAGCAAAGTATTTTTTTTTTACATCCAGAGCAATGAGCTAAGAAAATATGAATTAATAAAAAGTAAAATAATGTACGAAAAAAACGTTAAAACAAGTTAATGTGTAGGGGTTAATGTCCTCCCACCCCATTTGCTATGTATGTTGTGATAATAAATGTAGCAGTACTGGTAACTGATCAGTCTGGTATGTGTTGTTGAATGTCGATTTTTTTTTTGTTCTCGCTGTGGTCTATAGGTTTCATCCAGGTGCTCCGAATTCCACTACCACTAATAACATGGTCTAAAAGTCCCATAATTACCTTCCCATACTCCACTATCACCCACACTCTTCTGGAGGACATGGACCACCTAAAAATGAGGAACAATCTCAGTGTCCTGGTTTTTAATAAAATACATAGTGTAAATCAATAGATATTCTGTGGTTGTAAGCTGAAATATCTGAAAAAGAAAACTGAATCTCAATATTTTTACATGTTTACAATGTTCTCCCAGTGTCAGTGTAGGGTTCCTCCAGGTGTTCAGGGTTTCCCCCATCACTTAACCATGTGCAGTAGTTCAGGGTTTGAATGATTGTGTTTGTTAATGGTGCGGATTGTGGGACTACAGATGGAAATTAGTGACAAAGAGAAGAGGGATGTGATTGAGAGAGGGATAGAGGCAGGGAGGGAGAGAGGAGCGACAGGAGAGAGAGAGGGAGAGAGAGAGTCAAGAAAAAGCAGAGAGAGAGAAGGAGGGAGAGAATGAGAGGGACAGTGGCAAAGAGAGAAAGAGGGAGAGGAGGAGAGATAAGGGAGAGAGGGGAGAGACAGAGAGCAGAGGTAGAGAGAGAGAGACAGAGACAGAACGATAGAAGGAGAGAGAGGAAGGTGAGAGAGAGAGACAGGAGACAGAGGAGAAAGAGACCAGTCTTTAGAAGAAGAAAAGAACGAAGAAAGAAAGCAATGAAAAGAAAGAACAGAAGAAGAAGGAGAGAGAGGAGGAGATAAAGAGAACGACGAGAAAAAGAGAAAGAGAGAAAGAGGGAGAGAGAGGAGATAAGGAGAGGAGGGACGATTAATTAGAGAGGGAGAGGACAGAGAGAGAGAGGGGGAGTGATAGGAGACGAGAAAGATGAGAGAGAGAGACAGATGGGACAGCAAGTTAGAAGGAGAGAGACGGGAGGGAGAAAGCGACAGACGAGGAGAGAGGGAACGAGACAGAGACAGAGATGAGAGAAGGAGAGAGAGATAGAGAGACAGAAGAGAAAAAGAGAAAGAGAGGAAAGAGGGAGATAAGGAGAGAGATGCGGAGAGAATTAGAGAGGGAGAGAGCTGAGAGAGTGACATAGAGACCGAGAGACAGAGAGAGAGGGGAAAGGAATGCGGGAGGGGAGGGGGAGTCAGAGAGAGAGGGAGAGAATAGTGTACAGACGAGAGAGACAGAAAGATCAGAAGGAGAGAAGAGGGAGGGAGAGAGAGAGAGAGGGAAAGAGACAGATAAAGATAGACAGAGAGAAAAAGAGAAAAAGAGAGAAAGAGGGGATGGAGAGAGAGATATAAAGGAGAGAGAGGGAGAAGACAGAGAGAGAGTCTTAGAGACAGAGAAGAGGAAAGAATGAGAGAGGGCGGGGAGACAGATGTGGACAGAAAGAGAGGGAGAGACCAGTTTAAAATCGTTGCAGTAGTTCAGGGGTTGAATCGAATTGTGTGTTTGTGGTGCGAGTGCACTGTGGGACTACAGTATGGAAATTAGCCACCAAAAAGCTGGTTTATTGACAGTCCTTCTGTTCATTTATACCCTGCCCCATCGAATTATAGAAATAATACAAAACAAACAAACCTATTTGTTGAGGGTGCATAACCCGCCCCAAATTTTTTTTTTTTTTTTTTCATTTCACAGTTCTTCCCTTTGTTTTGACTGGGAGAGGTTGTGTTAAAACTGATGTGGCACATGCTGAATATTTAAGCGCCCCGCTCTGAGTCGCCCAGAGTATGTCTGCAGAACTTTGGCTCTCGCCCTGGGATGGTTTCAGGGGTGTGTCCAAAGCCTCCAGAGCAGGTGTGGTATTAAATCTACTCTCTATGTGCAGGTAATGACATGAGGTTATTTGTTTTGGGTTTATACTTTGTTTTGCAAATTCTGTCATTGCCGTTTAAATAAAGACTGGAGGTTAAAGGTTAGGAAGGAGGGTTTTCTCACAAGACAAGTCCGACAGAGAGACAGGAGGAAAGGTGGGAGAGACGGAAAGAGAGAGGAGAGAGGACCACGAGAGGAGGGAGAGATAAAGGCAGTGAGATAGGGGGGACCAGTGAGTGGGAAGGAGAGAGAGAGGGAGAGAATGTAATGAGAGGGAGGGAGGAGAGAGGACCAGAGGTGACAAAGTGAGAGAGGGAGTAGTGAGAGAAGGAGGAGGAGAGAGAGACCAGAGAGAGAGAACGGAGGAGAGAGAGAAGGCGAGACTGAGTGAATGAGAGAGGGAGGGGAAGATACAGAGAAGGTGAGATAGAGACGGAGCGATGAGTGGGAGAGAATGAGAGACGAGAAAGAGAGAGAGAGGGAGAGAGAGGGAGCAAATAATAGCTCAAGGGCAAACCAAGGTACCGTTTTGAAAAAAGGACGCTTCGGGGGTGTCTGCCAAGTCCCACTCAATACTGTTGAGTGTGTTTGTGTAGTTCTGTGTAGTTGTGTATTCGTTGTATTTGTGTAGTTGTGTAGTTGGATTGCGCGGCGGAAAAGAGATCTTGATATGGTCTGGCTGGATTCCCAAAGCTCGTCAGATCTCCAGTGCCTCTTCTCAGTATGAGAGCGACGGACTCGTTATGGACTATGTGAGGACTTCATTTTTATCATGGTTTAGATGAGGGGGTCGTGTTCGTAACCTAAAAACATATATTTAAAATCTAATTCGACATAATGTATTCTTTTATAGCCCTAAAATCAAAGCTCCCACATGGGACGGGCTGAAGAGCTAGTATAGTAAAAACAACGTGGGAAAGTACTGAGGGGTGTGTGACATGCGTGCATGTCTGGGGCATGTCGTGGGCATGTCCCGCGGTTCCGTCTCACTGGTTCTTAAAGCGTTCTCAGATGGGTCTCCAGATCCAAATGGCAGCTTGTTTAACACAACGCACGCAGGACACACACACACACACAACGCTACGCAGACACCACACACACACTACTACACACACACACCACACCACAACACACACACACACCACAACACTCACGAACGGCAGACACACAGCACCACACCACACACGTACACACGCACGCACACATACGTACGCACACCAGCCGCAGATAAAACATACTTCGACAACAGTTATAGATAGAGTTGTGATTTGGTCTTCCTCGTCAATTTTCACTCTCAAAAGTAGTTTTAAAGCGTTTGTTTTCAGCATGAGTAAAGCTAGTTTTATAGTGCACTTACTTACACACTCCAGGCAATTTCCCGGGTTTTAGTTTTGTAAATTGTAGTTGCTAAACGTATGTAAATCAGTGGTCTGCATAATTTTGTTGACTGTGTTTATGTCTCTGCTATTTAGTTTACACACCTTTCATTAGGCATGGACGCCATTAATCTATTAAAGCAACAGCGGTCTGGTAGACAGTATGATGTTGGGAGAGCTCCAGAGGCCGCAAGAGAAACGAAAATCAGGCCCACGTGAGGCCCCCAGCCCACCGTTTGCCCGCGTCCAGTTAGTTCTACCCTTGTTGATGAGGTTGCTCGTTGCCAAATGTATTGATTAAAACTGTCAATTTTACCACCTAGCTCAGGCCGGCTGGGTTCAATGTTTATTAAAAAAATCATTAAATTATTGCATATAGCCTTTTGAACCGAGTCCCTAACACCACCGTACCATATTTTATTTATGATTCAATGAATTATCCAATATTCTTGGGTTTAGTTAGGCCTCAGAGACGTACAAACAAACTTCCTTTCAAAGACAGTCACATGTCCTGAACATAACTGACATAATCCAATATTTTTCTTATGTGCTCTGTGCTGGTTCTAATTCAAAACCAATATCAATCCGGGGGCACCAAGTTATTTAATTTGCGGGCCAGATCTGGCTCCCGGGCCTTGATTTTGACACCCAGGTTTTAAAGGGTTAAAGTCGATGATTCGGATTTACAGTTTAGTGAAGGTCAATAGGAGTTATTCTGAATCGCTTTTTGTTTATTTTTCTGTTGAGGGGACCAACACTTGACTGTTGTTGCCCACAGAAAACTTCTTCCCAATGGGGGAGGGCACTCGTGGATATTGACTAAGAAAAGGGACGCCTAGATTGATCAACGCAACTTCGACGTGTCTGATTTCACACAGATAATACTTTAGGAAACAAAGGTGAGATGTATACTTCATATGAAGAAGATTAGCTTAATTAGGTACAGTCCACATTCATACACACACATGGACACACACAGACAAACACAGACAGACAGACACGCACAGAGACCAGACACGTACACAGACCACAGACACACATGTACGCACACAGAGGACAGACACACATACCACGACACACACACACACACAACACACACACACACAGACCCTAAGGCTAATTAATGGTCCAGTGAAGCCATCGGTCCAACAGCTTTATCTGGCTCGAAGAATGTTGAGATATTTCAAAGTAGTCATCACAGCGCACCTCACAGTCTATCAGAGGACATTTGTACTGAAGATAAGTGATGTGGGGGTGGGGGGGGGGGGGTGGGGGGGGGGGGGGGGGGGGGGGGGGGGGGGGGGGGGGGGGGGGGTCCCCCCCCCCCCCCACACTTGTGGGGGGGGGGGGGGGGGGGGGGGGTGGGGGGGGGGGGGGGGGGGGGGGGGGGGGGGGGGGGGGGGGGGGGGGGGGGGGGGGGGGGGGGGGGGGGGAGGTGTGAGTTCTACATGGTTTATGAGTGGTCTGCATGTATACTGAGGCATGAGAGGTCTTGCATGTTATACTGAGACATGAGATGGTCTGTATGTATTACTGAGAAGAGGTCTTATGTTATATGCAGACAAGACGAGGTCTGTTGATACTGAGACAGGTTGAGGTGTGATGTATACGAGAAGGAGAGGTCTGTATGTAATACTGAGACAGGAGAGTGTCTGTATGTATTATGAGACATGAGAGGTCTATATGGTATACTGAGACAGGTGGAGGTCTGTATGTATTACTGAGAAGGAAGAGGTCTGTATGTTTACTGAGTCATGAGACGGTCTATATGTTATACTGAGACAGGGATGATGAGGGCCTGTATGTGTCTGCAGACCAGGAGAGGTCTGTATGTATACTGAGACAAGAGAGGTTTGTATGTATTACTGAGACAGGAGAGGTCTGTTATGTATATTGAGACAGAGAGGTCTGTTTGTATACTGAGGCGATGGAGGTCTGTGTGTATACTGAGACAGGAGAGGTCTGTATGTCGACTGAGACAGGGGAGAGGTCTGCATGTATACTGAGTCGAAGTGAGGTCTGTATGTGACTGAGACAAGGAGAGAGGTCGGTATGTGATTACTGAGCTAGAGTGGTCTGTATGTTACTGAGACCAAGAGAGAGGTCTGCATGTATATGAGGACTAGAGAGGTCTGTATGTATACTGAGACAGGATGAGGTCTGTATCGTATACTGAGACAGAGAGGAGTGGATGTTTGGTATAATGAGAGAGGTGTTGTGTCTCTGTGTCCATCAATACCAATGTAATGACTCTATGAAAATGTGTGACATTAATTTATTGTTTCATAAATATTCTTGCAAACACGTCAAAAACAACAGGATGCATCCACACCCAACAACAAAGTGTACGTCTGCACATGTCCACCTCCTGTTTTGAAACGTTTATCACCTTAAAAGAGATTTTGGTTCACGTGTATTCAGCAGCATGCGCTAAACCCATGGCAGATTGTACAGTCGTTATTCTCTAATATATAGAAATGTGATGGAATGACACGTGTAATCCATGCAACCGCTGCGGGGGAACATATCCACAAGACACACAGTTGCTACAACAGTCTGATCGGTGGCTTGGGAAAAACCTCAATCTGAAGTCTTTTACAAATGGACACGTCCATTATTTAAAGGTTATACAGGAGGGTTTCTACTTTCCGGGGGACATCAAGCTAGTGGTTCCTCCCAACTGTCAATCATTCTGGTGATACTGCGTGATACGTGCTCCTCGTCCAATAAGACCAGAGAGTTTGGTTCAAAAAAGTGGACGTGGGCGGTTCTTTGCTAAAATTTGGGAAAAATCTTCTGCACTCTTTAAATGGCCCTATTCTGTCAAAAGGATCATAAATAATCAACAATAAATCTAACCTTTTATTTGTAGAGCGCTTTCCCAAAAAAGGCAAACACAAGTGCTCACAACATTTCACATCAGGCATAAACAAAATCCAACATTTTTTTATGCCTGGTGGTCTGTTTATTTTTTTTAAACACAGGACACAATAAAGAGCACAAAGAAATATTAAAACGAAAAAAAGAATATCACACACGTAGATAAAAAAACCTCAAAAAATTCACACTGTGGGTTTAAGAATCATAAAACAGCTATAGTGCATAAAAAAAGACAAATGTTTTTAACCTAGATATGAAATCTTCAGAGCAGACGCCTGTTCTCACATTCTCAGGAAGACTGTTTCCAGATCTGCTCTTTGCGAATCGTCTTTAACTGATAAAAGTAAGTTCACGCAGGAGATTGATTAGACTTCAAAATGGGATTTACAGCCACTAAATTCTTGTTTATTGTTTTCATTTCCACTGTCCACCGCCCTCCACCGTTTCACCAATCAGGAAGGTTGTGATCAGGGGTTAAGATACATTTAGCCCATATTTGAACTTTTTTCATCACTTTTTCAGTGTTGTCCTTTCTTCGTTTCGTTGGCAGAAAAAAAAAAATCACTCCTACACGGACAGACCTACTCGGAAACCTCCCTCTTGGCAAAAAGCTTACCCCAATTTCACCTGGTTGCTTGTCAAGTATGTGCCGAAAGGATATCACGGAGCTCCTTATCCTCTGTGTGACAGTGTAATTCCCTTTGCCCTGCAGCATGTGTCTGCAAATCTCAGACAGTTTACATGTTCATGTAGCTACATTGCAATGGGGCAGCGAGTGAACGTGCCATAGAGTATTCCGTGCATTCGGTTGATTCTGGCGAGGCCCCGGTCCAAGCTCGTTAACCTGGAGCTCTCACTGGTGCGTAGGAAGAGGGAGGGGCCAGGCTAACACGCTCCTAGTACTCCAAGATTTATTCTCCTTCTCTTTTAGTGTTTAAGCCGCGGTGAGTAAATAAATCGTTTACTATACGCGTTGGCTTGACGTTCACTTATAGTATCGCAGTTGCAGACGTTTTTTTTCGCTCAACGTTAAAAAAAAAAGCAAAAAAAAAAGCAATTGAGTGTAATTAGCGGCTTCTTAGATTTCAGAACAGAGACGAGAACGTTTCTTTTTGTTGGGAAATATTAATTACGGGGATTGGAAGCGATGAGGATTGGAGGTTTGATAAGAGGAGTATGGGGAAATGAGAGCACAACCAAGGACTCACAGAGCAGTCAATTTGACGGATTTTAAGTGTTTGCAAGGGTATGATTTCAACGTATGTACAAAGGTGGTCTTTCTGTTTCTACATGTAGGTTATTTTCTATGTCAATTTTTTTTATGACATTTATTTTATGAATGGCTGCTGTATGGAGAGATTTTTGTTTTAATTAGAAAGGTTTTATATATTTTTTGTAAATTAAATTGTAATTTCTGCGTGGTCATGTATATCCATCTACTAAACTAGCACTGCTGCTACAAACCTGGGCCAAAGGATTACAATGTGTGAGATTAATAAACACTTTTAAGGAAACTTTTGTAAAGTTAAAATCATCATTCTATCAATGTGCAGAAGACAGTACCTTTTCCATTGTTTGTCATATCTGAAGGCCCAAGCTACATTGGCACTGTGGCAAGCTGCTGATTGTGAGGGTCTCCATGCCTGGTCCGCTCTGCTACTAATACACTTGCATTCTGTGTTCGTTGTTGTTCGTGCTGTCTCTACCATCGACAATAAAACATGTCTTCTGTCTGAATGAAAGACGCGATCCCACTAGACTATGTCATCTTCTTCAGGTGGTGGATAGGAATGCGGCTTGTCTGTAACATCTACAGAACAGAAGACTACTTTTTTTTTACACAAAAAGTGTTTTTCCCCTTTTTTAAGCCATACACTGGGAAACCTCAAGAGAACCCGATGATCTGGGACCAGAAACTTGGACAATCTGCACAGCTCAGATATCCACTCAGGCTGTGAGCTGCTGAGACTTGGACAATACCAGCGTCTCTTTTGCAGGACAGCATTTGGAAACAATTGGATTTCTGAATTTGGGACATTAACTTTGGACTAAATTGAATTGCTGAATCTGGACCACTGAAGCTGAAACGTGTTGACTTTGAAAGACAGTCACAGAAGAATTCAGGGCTTGACACAAATGCAGCCTGAAAGAATCAACACAGAGAGTGGGAGAGACTGTTTTCAAGCAATATCTGGAAACCATCGACTGATGAAGTTTGTATTTTACTCTGATGATTGTTGACAAGTTTTATGAAAAGATCTGAACATGTTTTATGAGTTTCTGGAGTTTTTGAAGAGTATTCTGTGTTCTGGGTTTTTGAAGTACCGAGTTTAAGTATTGAGTTATGATGTTATGTGCTGTTTATCGATCCTGATGGTCACCACGTGAATGCCTCGCCGCTCTGTACTAAATACACTTGCTTTCTGTTGTTAGTGCTCTGTTCTCTACCATCGAAATAAAACATTGTCTTCTGTCTGATTTAAAGACGCAATCCCAGACATTGTCATCTTCTTCAACTGCATCTCTCCTCTTGGCTAATGTTTTATTGTACACTGTTCCTGTATGAAAATATAAATCATACCAGTTTTACCGTTTAACTCCCCCGTTAACTTTTTGACGCTTCATTCATTGAATATGTACAAAACCATTCTGTGGCCGGTGAACTGAAAGGCCTTTTTCTCCCAGGTGCTGGTCCTTATAGCAGTTAGCATCTTGTTCAACTTTCGGTCAAAACTGTTTTTGTTTGTATTTCTCGTTATATTAAAACCTTAAACCTGACATTACCACCCTAGGTTCAAATACAAGTCAAATTGAATTCCACTGATTTGGGAGCAGTCAAAAAATGCTGGCTCTGGGAGTTTGGTAGTTTCAGAATCCTCTGTGAGTGAAGAGTGAGTTCACTGATGGTGCAGGAGGAGGTATGAAGTCCATTCACCAGTGCACAGGACACTAGATAGTTTGTGAACATAGTAGTGGTCGAAGCTCACAAAACGCTACAAAATGAAAAGCCAGTGGGTCTTGGTTGTCATTGAATAAAACTCTACATTTCAACAAATCCACAGCCTCAATTCTAAGACACACAATCTTAAGCCCTAGCGTAATCTGGGATGAGCAACTGATTATAATCCGTCGCATATGAGTTGCTGCCTCAGCCACAACATCGACAATCTGACGAAAAGGAGCATACTCCCAGTAGCATGACCAGTTCGGGAATAACAGCGCCGTACATCGACAGCAACTGGCTCAACTACAGTGTGTTTACAAGACATATACTGTTGCGGGCTCGCCATATAACGCACTACACAATGTTGTCGGAGCGAGGTGCATGGAGCGCGACATCGGGTCATTACTCAATAACTGAGGACAACTATTTGCCGAAAAGTAGAACACGGGCAACTGACTGAAACTGGAGACCGACTGTTTTTTTCACTACCAGTTGTTTAAGAGCGCGCGCATCGACCGATTTCGGCAACTGATCATATCCATCATCTACTTCAGTTGCCAAAGCGCCTTGTGGCAACTAGTTGCCCAGTTTCTGTCGATGTACACTAGGTTATGACAACACAATGTATAATGGAGACAAAGATTGGTGAATGTAGTATTCTCGATACAGGACATGGAGCCCATCCTCTGACCCACACACAACAAACACACACGTACACACACAGACAACCACACACGCACACAACACGACACACACACACTGACTGACACACATCTGTAAAAGTGAAACATGTGTAGAATGATTCTAAGTTAGATTTGTTGGTGAATGTGGAATTCCCTCTGACCCTCGCAGACACAGATATGAGGCTGCGGAGCCTCTGTAGACAGCGCCTCACGGCCTTCAGGTCACTGGACACAAGCGATTACGAGACCAATCTGAGGTTTCATCTGTTGTCGGGGGTCACCCCTCAAGCCCCGTTACAGGCTTGACATTTCGCCAATTAACGCAATTAGCTTTTGGCAGACTGGCCTGAGGTGTCACATGGCAACTCTGCCAACTGAAAGTACTGACAAGCCACAAGTCAGTTTTGTCGCTCTCACAGGGGGCCAGTCGACAGGTCAGAGGAATTGCAGCAGAGGTTAAAACTCACTGGGAAAACGGTGAGATTCAGCTCAAGATTAAGGACATCCTTATGCGTGCCCACTGTGCGGGAAATGGTCTGTGTTGGCATAATCAGCTACAGAACAGTAGGAATGAGCGAGCACATAGCACAAGATAAATGAACAATAATCTAATACTGAAATTTAAATAAAATCTCTAACTTTGCACTTATAAAAAGCAAGTGCTGATACTGCATAATTCTAGTACAAGTATATTATAGCTGTAATGTTTACATCTGTACATGTTTAGCGCATGAGGCTTGGTTTCTACAGTGAACATGGTTCTGTATTGCACATTCAGATTATTCAGATTATTATTGCACAGATGAGTAAAGCTTTCAACTACTTGGAACTATTTGATCCTATAATTAGGTTGTGGAGAATTCTTCAAATGTGTATTGTCCTCCAGACGAACTGCTGTGATTTAAGGCATACACAAATAAACGGGATTGAATTGTGTTGAACCGGCCCCGTTTTGTCACGCCGATCGTACCCGCTGGTGTGTATGTGGTCAATTCTCTGCTCGGCCTCAGGAATGCAGCTCCTCACAAGCAGACCCTCAATCCGCGAGCTCAATGTCCCCAGATGGGAATTGTTAAAAAATAAGCACGCTCAATAACGCGGGAGGAAACCCATAAAATATTATGGGCTTTAATATAAGGAGGAAAAACCACGGTGCGGGTGATTGACGGACGAAAAAACTTCCCGGCTTCTTGTTTTGAAGGCTAGATTCCTATTTCTTGTGTTATTAAGATACCGCGGCGGTGTTCGGACAGAGAAGTCACAGACGAGGCTGCGGTAAAAGCGAGAGCACTTGCAATTTAAAACTGCAAATGAGATGGCAGTTGTGGCACTGATGTCATTGCCCCAGCCTCCCTTTTGCTTATCTTTCTACACATCGTCTGGGGCTAAGTTATCAGCGCTGCAATTGTAAACCAGGGCCACAGAATATGCTGTGTTCTCGGTTGGTAAGTAGCTGGCATTTGCTAACACCTGGTCCCTATCAAATTATCAGCGGGTCTGCAGCCAAGGAACCCACTTCAACTGCGTGTTTGGAAACGTTTTTAACAATTTAAATGAAGTGAGAGTTGGTTTGGATTAATTTTCGTTTTGAAATAAAGTCACGAATGTGCAATACGAACCATGTGTCACGGTGAATCAGAGCCTCATGCTGCTAAATGTACGATGTAAACATACGCTATATATAATTGTACTAGAATATGCAGTATCTTGCACTTGCGTGTTTATAATGCATTAAGTTAGAGATTTTATTAATTTCAGATTGAGTTATTGTTCATTTATCTTGTGCTATGTGCTCCTCAATCCTCATGTTCTGTGCTGATGAGTGCAACATGACATTTCCCCACTGTGCCGGAGCATAAAGGATGTCGTAATCTTGATCTGATCTCACCGTTTCCAGTGTGTTTTAACTCTGCATTCCTTGATCTGTCGTGGCCCCTGTGAGAGAGACAAAACTGACTTGTGGGCTTGTCAGGTACTATCAGGTGCGAGTGTGCCATGTGACACCTCTGGCGTTGCCAAAAAGCTAATTGCGTTAATTTGGCGTATGTTCCAAGCCTGTACGGGGGGGAGGGGCCTTTGGGGTGACCCACCGACACAGATGAAAGCTCTCAGATTGGTCTCGTAATCGCTGTAGTCAGTGACCTGAAGGCCGTGAGGCGCTGTCTGCAGAGGCTCCGAAGCCCGTTTCATTCTGTGTCTGCGAGGGTCAGGGGAATCCACATTCACCAACAATCTAACTTAGAATAATTTCTACATGTTCACTTTTACAGATGTGTGTCAGTCAGTGGTGTGTGTCTGTGTGTGTGCGTGTGTGTGTGTTGGTGTGTGTCAGTGTGTGTTGTTGTGTGAGGGTCAGAGTGATGGGCTCAAGGGCATGTATCGAGAATCTCATTCACCTTCTTTGTCTCATTATTCATGTGTGGTCTTAAGCCTTAGGTGTACAATCGACAGAAACTGGGGACAACTAGTTGCAAGCGGCTTTTGGCAACTGAGAGTAGATGATGGAGATGATCAGTTGCCGAAAATCGGTCGATTGTGCGCGCTCTTACAAACTGGAGATGAAAAGCACGGTCTCAGTTTCAGTCAGTTGCCCGTGTTTCTAACTTTTCGGCAATTAGCTTGGTCCTCGATTTGGAGGTATGAACACGATGTGGCGCGCTCCATGCACCGCTCCGACAATCATGTGGGTATTGGTGTATTGCGAGCCCGCAACAGTTTTGTCTGGTAAACACACTGTAGTTGAGGCAGTTGCTGTCGATGTACGCGCTGTTATTCCCGAGGACTGGTCTTGCTACTGGGAGTTGCCCCGTTTTAGTCAGACTGTCGGATGTGTGCTGGGCAGCAATATTATGCGACGGAGATTAATCAGTTGCAGCCCGATGTACGTAGCTTATTTAGAGTGTGTGTCTTAGAATTGAGGGCTGTGGTTTTGTTGATAATGTAGTGGTTTGTGTTCATGACAACCATGACACACTGGTTTTCATGTGTTGTGACGTTTTGTGTGCTTCTACCATACTATGTTCACAAAATGATCTAGTGTTTTGTGCCCTGGTGTATGGACTTCATACCTCTCCTGCAACCATCAGTTGACTCACTCTTCACTTCACACGAGGATTCTGAAATTCCAGAAAATCCAGAGCAGCATTTTGACTGCTCCCAAATCAGTGGAATTCAATAGTGACTTGTATTTAGAACTGGTGTAATGTCAGGTTTAAGGTTTTTATATAACGGAAATACAACAAAAAACAGTTTGACGAAAGTTGAACAAAGCTAAACCTGCTAATAGGGACCAGCACCTGGAGAAAAAGGCCTTTCACCGCACCAGAAGTTTTGTACATATTCCAAATGAATGAAGCGGTCAAAAAGTTAACGGGGGAGATTAACGGTTAAAACTGGTATGATTTATATTTTCACAGGAACAGTGTACAATAAACATTAGCCAAGAGGAGAGATGCATTTGAAGAGATGACATGTCTGGGATTGCGTTCTTTAATTCAGAACAGAGACATGTTTTATTGTCGATGGTAGCGACAGCACGAACAACAGAAATGCAAGTGTATTATACAGAGCGGAGGCATTCACGTGTGACCATTCAGGATCGATTAAACAGCAACTATAACATCATAACTCAATACTTAAATCGGTACTTTCAGACCCAGAACTCAGAATACTTCAAAAAAACTCAGAAATACTCATAAAACATGTTCAGATTCTTTCATAAAACTGTCAACAATCTTCAGTAAAAATACAAACTTATCAGTCGATGGTTCCAGATATTGCTTTGAAAACTGTCTTCCCACTGCTCTGTGTTGATTCTTTCAGGCTGCATTTGTTGGTCGAAGCCATGAATTCTTCTGTGACGTGTCTTTCAATCACACGTTTCAGCTTCAGTGTCAGATTCAGCAATTCAATTTAGTCCAAATTATGTCCAAATTCAGAAATCCAATTGTTCCCAAATTCTGTCCATGCAAAACGAGGACGCTGGTATTGTCATGTCTCCAGCTGCTCACAGCACCTGAGTGGAATCTAGGAGCTGTGCAGATTGTCCAAGTGTGATGGTCCGATGAGGGTTCTCTTGAGGTTACCCAGTTTGGTTAAAAAAAAAATCACTTTTGTTGTAAAAAAAAAAGTTGTCTTATCCTTTGTGATGTACAGACAATGCGCATCCTTCCACCACCTGAAGAAAGATGCACATGTCTGGGATCGCGTCTTTTCATTCAGGGAAAGAAGACATGTTTTATTGTCGCTGGTAGAGACAGACACGACAACACGAACACAGAATGCAAGATGTATTATACAGACGGTGGGCTGGTGCCCTCAATCAGCAGCTGCCATCAGTGCCATGTAGCTTGGGCTTCATGATAGACAAAACCAAGGGGAAAAGTACTGGCTTCTGCACATTGATAGAATGATCGGAGTTTAACTTTAACAAAGTTCCTTATAAGTGTTATGAAATCTCACACATTGTACCAGGTTGTAGCAGCGTGCTAGTTTAGTATTATGGATACATGACCCAAGCAGAAATTACAATTTACTTTACAAAAAGTTATAATAATACTTTCTATTAACAAAATCTCTCCATAACACATTCATAAAATTATGTCATAAAAAAATGACATAGGAATAACCTGAACATGTAGAACAGAAAGACCACATTTTGTACATACTTGTTGAGAAATTTCATACCTTGACAACTCTAAAAGCCGTCAATTGGACTGCTCTGGGAGTCCTTGTGTTTGTGCTCTCATTTCCCCATACTCATCTTATCAACAACCTCAATCTCAATCGCTTCAATCCGTAATTAAATATTTCCCAACAGAAGAGAAACGTTTTCTCGTCTCTGTTCTGAAAATCTAAGAGCCGCTAATTACACTCATTTGCTTTTTTTTTTTGCTTTTTTTTTTACGTTGAGCGAAAAATCGTCTTGCACATCGATTACTTTAGTGAACGGCAGCCAACGCGTATAGTAAAGTTTTATTTACTCACCGCGGCTTAAACACTAAAAGAGAAGGGAGGAATAAATCTTGTTGGAGCGGGTTAGCAGGGCCCTCCTCTCCTACCACCTGTGGAGCTCATGTTAAAGAGCTTGGGCGGGCCTTTTCGAAAGAAACTCAACCGAATGGCACGGAATACTTGGCACGTCACCGACTCCCAGTGCAATGTAGCCTACAATGAACATGTAAAACTGTCTGAGATTTGCAGACATGGCTGCAGGCACAAGGGAATTACACTGTCACACAGAGGTTTGGAAGCTGCAGTGATATCCTTTCGGCACTACTGATAGCATCAGGTGGAAATGGATGTTT